AGATCCGTCGTTGTGGCTCGACGCGCGACTCCGGGTCTCGTGGGCTGAAGGTCGCGTGCCCGTTTGAATCGGAGCTTTTCGCGTTACCGCCCCTCCGCCCCCCTCGACCCCCTCCCCTCGTGTACCCACATCCACGTCGGCCTTCCCCCTCGGCACCCCCGCTCTTCATTTGTAGCACTCTACATGTGGAAACTCATTATTTTTATATATAATTCCATCCGCGCCGGAGCCGAGGTCCCTCCTGCACTTCTCTCCTCTTTCAATTCCCGGTTAATAACGTGTTAGCGGCTCTGATTTATTTTTCAGTTCTTATTCCGCTGGCAAATACCTGCTATGCGCCCGCTGTTCTACTCGATAGAGCCAACTGTTATGCCGGCTTCCCAGAAACAGGGAAAATAACTTAGCGGCAACTGTTTCGAAGAATTATCATTCACAAAAAAGGAAAAACAAGTCTAGGGGCTGTGTTCGTAGTCGTTCTCTATACAGCTCCTTTCCGTTGAGTTGCAGAGGCGGATCCAGCAATTTGGCAACACTGACTTTCCTCCATTTAAACCTGTGTTGAATAATCGATTCTGCTCGGAACACCCGGCTCCTCTAAGAATCGATCCATTTCCAAAGGTTTAAATGTAGAAAAGAAAAATCAAATTGCCAATTTGCTGGATCCGCCGATGTTGAGTTGTTCATTCCTGTTTGTATACTTTAGGAAGTAGTACTTTGTCTTACTAATAAATAACAAATACATCAAGGTACACTACTTAAAATTATTTGAGTAAAAATCTCCTAATTTTGCAAGTTCACTTCACCCGTGAGTTAATTGAGCAGCGTATGATCCGTAGATTACACGTCAAAGGCGTGTCTTTTTCCTTGGCTGGGAGATTTTGCTGGGTCATAATTTGTTCTTATTTCTTTTGCTTCGTCCACGCATTAAGCAGAAGCTATTTTTCCCTAGCTTTTACTAATTTTTCTAATTTATATTGCATTTTTTAAATTTGAGTTCAATTCATCGCTCCGCAGCCATTACCGAGGCCAGATTTTGAAAACCATTTCAATCGTACGAGATGGACACTTGCATGAGTTTTTTATTATTTTATTTTCGCTCGAACATTAAATTTGAAAGGAAATATTATTCCTGCGCTAGAAATTCACTGAAGTGGTTATGTATTACCAGTAATTTAGAAAAATTTTACAGTCAACTTTTTTAAATAACCGAACGGTACAAACTCTACAATTTTAATGGTGTTATAGAGCCGGAAAGAGGGATGGGCTATGGAGCAGATACGAGACATGGTCTCTCAATTCTGTAATAGTTGTTGGTATTATTAGAATTTAAGCCAAGCTCGGAGAGAGAAGTCGTCTAGCGAGATTATCAAGCGCGAGAGAGCTAGTTGAGAGAGAAGTTGCTTTGAACTGGTACAACCGCAAAATAGACGCAGTTTCAAAGAAAAGCTCCTGTGAACGAGAGTTTCGAGGCAAACACCTTGTAAGAATCCAAAATTTGTCAAATTTCAAGGATTAAGGATTAATTTATGAGGTGAAAAGGAAATTCCGTGAAATTTTCAAATAATTTAAGGCACATTGTGGATAATATTTTCCGAAAAATCCAAAGAAAAATATTCATAAGTTTTCGAAAAAATGAGTTTTTCGTGGAAGAATTTTGGCAACAGATGCATGTTCCTAAATCGTTGTTCCTTAGAACGTAAACGTAAGTGTTGGCTCCAAGTGGAAGTGAGGTTACGCGTTAGGATGGCGATTACGTGTGTTTATGAAATTGAATCTTGGAAACGCCCAGGAAGCTCCTCTGCGAATTGCGGCGAAGACGGGACGGCGCGGCGCGGCGGGGACGGTCATGTGAACGAGGCTCTAAAAGAGTGGATACCCAGGATTATTTGTCCCGCAAATGCGAACACGATTAGTCCGTCGAGTACAATTTTCCCGCTGCGCACCGCCCCGTCCCGCCCCGCTCTTGTGGGCTAAAAACCATGACAACGTGCGCATCCTCTCGCATTGCCACATTGGATACTAAACAGACTGATTTTTTTAAGTTTTAGCTTCCTCTGCGCGCTGATTGTTGAAATTGATGGACAAAGGTATAGACATAAAGAAGACAAACGGGATTTTGAGGCATCCTATTGGTTGAAGCGGGTGGTTGCTATGGACAGAAGGGGTAGGTACTAGACTAACTAACGACAACCGACGAGAGACCCTGTATTTAGTCCATCATTTTCCCATTAATCCTATGATAACCACCCGTTTCAACCAAGAGGAGCGATCCATGTTCCCTATGTCTTTTTTGTTTGTCGCTATATCAACAAGTTTCAATAATCAGCCCACTGGATGGGACGAAAAGTCCGCATGGACAAAGGAAGTAGGTACTAGACTAACCAACGACAACCGACGAGAGACCCTTCAGTGAGTCCGTCATATTCCCCCTCAGTTTATAAGAAGAACCACCCATTTTAACCGATAGGATTGCACCCCATGCCCTCTCTGTCTACTGCTTTGTCTATCAGTTTCAACAATCAGTCCGATGTAGGGGTGAAATTCGGGAGTGACGTATCTAATAAACGTCATGTAACATAATAAGGTCTGCGAATGGTCAATGGGTCTATTGCAAGTAAGAGATACAGCCAAATAAATATCGACGGTGAAAGTCGGCGATCACATAACTCGGTTTGCGACGTTGCAGACTTCCTGTCATACTTTATTTTTTAAACGGAAAACTACTCAACGGTAATTCTTTAAAACTGCCGTGATTTTTCTTCTATGTGCGAGGAAAATTCTGCAAGAACTTCAAGGAATCATGTCCATTTGTTCTCCTTTAAAAAAATAACATAGTTGCGGAGATTTTCAGACACCGCAAACGAGTTATGTGATTACCGACTTGCACCGTCGATATGCTATTTACGGGTAAGATCGCGCGAAGATCACGTTGAGCACGTTAAAAAGCCGTACGTACATGAGAGAGGCGTGCTCGCTCTGGACCCAGATATCGGAGTTATAACTGTTAAATCCACAATTTAGGGCTATTAAACTCGGAATTCAAATGCAAGCTATGACAAAATTTCTTCAGGCTCTTGTATCTGTAGCGCAACAGACTCTTCGCGGTTGGTTTGGAAAGCAACGACTGCAAAAAGCGGCTTTATCTTTCACGTCTGAGTAATTTCCTGTAGAATGAAGAAACACGAATCCGCGTGGACGTTTCTTTCCCACGACGGAGCCTGAAAGACACCCTTGTTCGACCTGTTCTAAGGAAAAGCACCGTATGAGCATTCGAGTGCTGCCAAATTTCCTCTCAGAAAATAGTTATTTTAGAAGAAAATAATGCATATTTTTTCTTGAAATATGCAGCTCGAATTACAAACCGAAATTCACCGAACTATCTGAAAATTTGGGAGAAAAATATTCATAAATATTGTCGAAAATTCGTGATTTATCGGAGGAAATTTGCAACACCAGGAGGTTCATACGGCGTTTTTCCTTAGGAGTGGCGGAGGCTCTGTGAAATAGATCAGACGGTATAAATCAAGGTGGCTGGCGTTGAAGGAGGTGAAAACAAACGGAGGTTTGAGCGTGGCGCCCTTTGTCCTCATCCCTTTATCTTCGGCTGAGTAAGATTAATCGATAAATGATGCTCCTCCGCCGCAAGCGAGAAGTCAAAGGCTTGTTCCGGCGCGGCTCTATTAACTCTGTCAATTTTCGCCCGCGGGGAGCTCCCGGCTACGTGTAAGCGGCATAATCATTCGTGGCACCGACCTTTTTCAGCTCTTCCTGTCTGTCTGAAAGCTTTTAAGCACCTCGGGCCCCTCTCGTTACCGCTGTTCCAAAGTAAAATTACACGTAAATCTCCTTGTTTGTCGCTAAGTATGCTCTTCCGATGAGCTTCCCTCGGACTAAAAGGCTTCAAATAAGTTATTGTTGTGGGAAAAAGTCTGCCTCGTAGAGAAGTGATATCGTGCTATGAACTATCTGCTGCGCCGCGAATATCTCCCCGGATTGAATCGCAAAACGAACCGCGTTATGCAGAAATAAAGAAAGCCACATCAGCTATTACCAAATTTACTTGGACTGTTGAATTTTTTATATGAAAACGGTTGTGTAGATTTGTGTGCAAATTTCAGAGAATTTTTTTCACAATTCAAAGCAAATTCCTTAAAATTTTCTAATGAATCCTTACGAATGTTCTCTTGCAAACATTTAAATCGGGCAGTCAAATTTGGCAATAGCTGAAGTGGATTGATTCCTTTCTGCTAAACAGGGTCCAGATCTACTGAGGGGCAGGTCAGTTATTACTTGAGCTTTGAGTGGTTTTATAGAACTTGTACGAAATTTGGATTCCTTGGGATCAATTCCTCATTCATTATCGCGGTCATGAGCTTCGTCCGACCTAAAATAACCGAGAACAAGGCCCTGGTATGGTAGGTCAGCAGCCTGATTCTTGAAACGTTAACTGGCTATGTCAGCAAGATGAGATAAGACACACCCTTAAATGTGCCGTGTAATATATCGATTTTCGATTTAATCAAATGACCAGTTTGATTTTTTACTTGCAATTTATCCATACTACGAAGCGCGTATTTTAACAACACAACGGCAAAGAGAAGTAATAAAATGGACGTATTCTTGCCAAACGGAACTATAGAAGAGTTGAAAATATAGGGTGTTCTCCAGAAAGCTACATAAGATACAATGGTAAAGTGGTCGGGATTCCCTTTGGAAAAATGGAAAACCAGGATTTTACTTTCTGTCGGACGGAACTATGTGCCGACTGAATGCGGCAATTATGGGCCGTGCGGACATGAGAAAAGAGTGTTATGGACAGGGCTCAAGAGTTGATGCCGACAGAGGTGGTAGTCTCGTTGCCGCTGACGTCACTGACGCCTTGTAATTCCCATTTATTCTTACGGCCCTCGACTAACGAGCACACCCCTTCTGCCCCACTTGTATCTGGTTCCGTTTGACAAAAATACGTTCAAATAACGAGTCTTAAAAAGAGAACCTACCTTCTGATGAATATGTCTACGGTGTCGGAGCCGCATCTTCTGGGGCACCCAAAGGTTGAGGTAGAGGCAGTCCTCACTGATATTGGTATTAGGGTTCCACATCTCCTCGCCCTGGAAACCGGGGAAGTACTCGAGCCGCTCCTGATAGCAGCTGTTGGGGAGACTGGTGGCATTGAGGACGCCGCGCCAGGGGTCGATCTCGACCGGCTTGCGGAAGCGGAGCATGCCCACCGGCGGCTTAGCGAATGGGATCCCCGTGAAGACGTGCACCTTGTGCCCCATCACCTGCTTCTCGACCCCGCGGATCAAACCCGACTTGGTGCGCACCACCAGGGGGTCGTTGACGAAGGACTCCTCGTAGTCGGCGTGGGTATGCCTCTCGTGCTCCAGGGACTTGAATCTCCGCTGCCCGTCGAAGATGTACTTTCGCTCCTCCTCGCCGGCTTTGAACTTGCGGTCGCCGTTGGAGGTGCCTGTCTTGTTGTTGGGCTCCTGGTAGGCGGCGAAGGAGGCGTAGTGGTCCTCGTCGAAGTTGTGGTTCTTGTGGTTGTTCAGGTGGCTCGTCTGGCCGTGGTGCTTGCGGTGGCTCGGGTGGCCCGCGGCGAGGCCCAGGACGGCGCAGAGGGTGAGGGCCAGCGGCCAGAGTTCCTTGGTGCCCCTCGGACACGGCTCCCGCCGTTGCCGCTGCGTGACGACGCGCGTTGTTGCCGTTGTTGCCATTGTTGCATCCGCTTCCCCCGGGAGATTACATGACACGCTTATTCCCGCGCTCCCTCTACCCGCCGCCGGGTCGCCAGCTCCGCCCCATCGCGCCTCGCTCGGGGCATCCCTGAAATCAAACCAAAACATCGTTGTCGCTATTATTCACAAAATTTCTACAAAAATACAAGTAAGTATAACGCTACGCGGATTCAGCGAATTGGCAACATCGTTTTTTCTCCATTAAACCCATGAAAATGTATCGATTCTTGAAGGAGCCTGGTGCTCCGACAAGAATCGATTATTTGACATAGGAATAAATGGAGGAGATTCGATGTTGCCAAATTTCTGCGTCCGATTCTGCGCGAATTAGATGTGTATGAAGGGATGTAAGTGAGGACTTTTCTATCATCGTCAGAGGTAACATATTTCAGAAACCTCTCACTAACGAGGCAATGAAATTCGTGCGGCAAAATTTAAACTAGAGGGTCAACACCACTTTTTGCCAAATGATTGATGATCAACTTGTTGAGCCGAGAATGAAATTAAAATTCACCAGTGCCTACAAGAGTGCAGGAATACTTCACGAATTGCGTCAAGTACAGTGCGGTCGCCAGTCACCGTGGAACGCATTATTAGCGCCTACAAGACTGTATGAATACTTCACGCATTGCGCGTTCACTACAGTGCGCGACGTATTTCCGCGATGTTGCTTACATATTTAGGCAAAAAAAATAGGAGTAGAACACACTCATATGCAAGTAAAAGACGAGGGACAAGAATGTACCCTATTTCAAATTTTTGCCCACCGAATGATGACAAATAACCGTCGAAGTTAGCATTTTGCTGGGCGAGTTGACTCTTCGATTTGGCTCGCTCGATCGCTTCACCAAACGCTGAACTCTTTCTCTTTGGCAATCAGTCATCATCAAGCAAACCTGAACGTTTACTCTCGAAATTAACTTTTACACCATCGGGAACATAGCAGTGCGGGATCTCTTAAATATGTTGTCTCTGCTGCTGACCCTCGTAGATTGTCCGTCGTACTTCAACGCATTATTCTTAGCCTTCATCAACAGTTCGAGGTGTTTTGAGCAAGGTCATTCGACAAAAAACGGCAGTGAAAGACGGAAAGCAATCACCTTGGTCACGACGTTTTAAAATATTCGCTTTTCTTCATTTTTCCACAAGAAAAACGGACGTTATTGATACACTTTGTACAGAATATCTGTAAAATACGAGAGAAAATCACGACATATTTTGTCTGAAAAAAAAGAGAACTTCGGGGATTGAACTGAGTGTTTTCCCCCCCTTCTACGTCGATTTCGGTTACGGGACGTGGCTTTCGGTGCTCGGTTTGGCAGCGACGAGCCTCCCTGTCAGCGGGTGGCACGCTCGGAAGAAAATCACATTTTACAAATGCATTCTTTTCTTCTCCATCCGTGAGGAAATTAGAGTCTTGCGACTTGCCGCGTAGAAATGGCGCCTTTGTCTCCGTATTTTTTACACCCTATTTTCGTCTCCTCTCCTTCGTTTTCACCCGCGGATCCACCACTTTTCAGGGGTTTTCTCAGAGGAAGAAGGGGGGGGATTCAGTACCCGCGTTATGTGTACAGAGTTTCCTGACGAGAAATTCTCTGACCACTTCGTGGTATCAAGAGATCCCTGCTTTTACTCCAAGTAGTTAAGTAATTGTGAGCGGTGCGAATTTTCCAACGTAATCCCATGTTTTTAGTGATATTTTTTCCGCGGGATTTCTTCATACCTCTAGCCATCTCTCCATTTCTGAAAACGATAAAAATGGATTTCAACTAGGTACCATTCTGATGATGAAACATTCAACCTTCAAAATTTTTTTCTTTCTCAATTTTTCACATGACATTTTTGACCACAGGCGAAGAGGGAATGAATTATCTACATCGAGAAAGTTAAACACGTCTTAAGTTCATTAATCCAAGTAAATTATGTCCTTCAAATCTTTTATTACTTTTGAAAATTTCTCAGTACATGTCACATTTCCCTATAAATTTATTTTTCAAAGCAAAACAAAGAAACTGCGAACCTTCACTAAATTTTCATCGAATATACCTCACTTAAGGATCTTGATATTTCCTAGGGAGGCCATTCAAGTACTCAGTTAGCTACTCAGGGCGGGGGAGGGAGTCTTAGCTCGGTTTATGGGGATTTCATGAAAGGAAAGGGGAAGTTACACTCAGGATTACGTAGGCTTCTCATGTTATAAAAAAATTGTTCAACAATTTCAAAGAATGTCTAGGTTAATTTTTCGGAAAAAATCAGGCCTGCATTAAGGGGGGAGGGGTTACGGATTCGGCAAGAAAGGCTTTCAAAAAAATTGAATGGCTCCAGAAATGTGCAACAAATTTTGCAATTTCTTTGATTTTTAAGGTTAGTGTATTTTTTTTTTTCGGAAAATACACTAAAAGAAAAATATCGTGAGAAATATTTGAAAGCACAGATTGAGGTACATGCTGTGAACTTAAGTTGTCCAAATCGCTGATTACAAGTTGACAAAATCAATTAGTTGGGCTGCCTCGGATATTCCGCTATAGTACCCAGTTAAAGTTAATCATGGAGATTAACAGTACAAAATAAAAATGCACTTGAACTGCAAATTATCATTTGGAGGCAAATAATTGGGAATATATGCACGTTAAAACCCTTGAAATGAATGTGGAGAAGAAAAGATCCGGCGAGAAAACATATTTGTGCGATTAATTTTGATTTGGCGAGCAGCGAAGAAAAATCCACTTCGAGTACGTATCAGGAGTATAAAGTCTATTTTTATGACGACGACGTCTTAATGGAATTAAAAGACGTTGCCAAACGAATTATCATCTCTTCAAGGTACATTGCAAATAAGTCAAGAGCGGACTCGTTTTGAAGAAGTTTGGCAGCGGTAGCGGAGAGCTGACATTTCGAGGGCTCTCATTGTTTCCAGTCCATGTCAAACTGTAAATCAGAAAGAACAAAAACTTTGATGATTATAATGTTTAATTTTATACCCGGGTTGCGTGTCCATCTCGCTCCCGATCGATCGACTTTCAATGTTCTCTTTTCCGGTCGCCGCGCTGTTTCAAACCCGAGCGATGAAGTTTTCAGACCATAATAAAGTTTGTAGACATACTACTTGGAATATTTAGACTTCTTGAGGTCGAGATTTCCAATCTCTACAGTTATTATTAATTGAATCGACGTATGCGAAAACGTCCGATGTCCAATACAGTGTTTCAGACTTTGAGTGGACGCTTTCGTTGTAACCAAAAGACACAAGATTTTTTAAGACGTTAGGAATGTCAATGTAGATCAATTTTAGAAATAATCTCCTAGGTATACTGCCGTGCTAAGGAAAAACGCCGTATGAACATTCGAGAGTTGCCAGATTTCTCTTGATAAGACATGTATTTTTAACGATATTTATGCACATTTTTCTTTTTAATTTTCAGATATTTTAGATTAAATTACGTATAAAATGGTCAGAAAATGTTGAGGAAAAATTTTTAAATTTTCCCGGTAAATTCGGTTTTTATCGAAGGAAACTTGGCAACGTCTGAAGGCTCATTCGGCGTTCTTCCTTAGCATCGCAGTATAATTAAACGTTTACAAAAGAGATCAATCTTATTTATCAGTGTCGTGGGGCAAATGAAACCAATGCAATTGTGAAATCATGTATTGGACGACAGACGTTTTTGCATGAGTCAATTCAATTATTCAATTAAGTGTCTCAATTTTTGAATCTAATAAAGTGCTCATTTTCCTAGCATCCGTTTTGATGATGTCCCCCTATAGACCTATCCTTTATTTGAATTATATTCAAAATAGTTTCAATTTTTAAGTAATCTCTTTGATGCTCAATGACTAATTGCCATGTAAGTACTCTTCAATTTGTCTTGTTGTTCGTTTTGCCTGCTTTTAAAAGAAAAGTGGAAAAAATCTTTGAGTAATTGCCACGTCAAAATAAGAAAGGGGAGAGGCTTGAATTGGAAGGGAGAGAAAAGCTTCTTAAATCTTTGAAATGTATAATATATTCAACCATAGCAAGCCTCGTTTCTCATGTTAGATTATTTTTCCCATTTCGGCCGTTTTTACGAGCTCAATTAAGCGAACTGTTGCCATATCTCTCCATTGATATTGTTGTTTTATTTCGCTCATATTCAGAAAGAAACTAGCCATATTTTTCCCGTACGTAAATATTTTTAAAGCGTGGCAACTTCAATCGAAAGACCACGCTCTAAATATTACTGCCAACTTGGGCTAGAACCTCGAATGTATATACGTATTTTCATTTTAATAGCACGGTTTTTCAGCAGAGAAGCAGGTTAGGATTTTGACCTTGGTGTATCTGATTTTTTTTCTTTTTACCCCGTCTCTAACCGCTAAACGCGATAGTTCATTGTCCTTTACTTAGGAAAATTTTCCAGAGAAGCGTCTTTGCGACGCAAAAGAGCTTTGAAAAAATTTCAGATTTTTTAAAACTCCTTGCTGGGTAGGCAATTTTTGCTGCAAGGACTGTAAGAAAGCATAGCGCATAGCTCATTTCGTTGCTTCTCTGACGTAAGGGCGTATCTTGATTTCCACGTGAGCCTTGTTTTCCATGAGACTCCATGTTTTCCGGGCTCATACGCAGATCGAGATACGCCCTTACGTCAGAGGAGCAACGACTTATGAAGCGTTTTCGGACACATATGTGGATCGCATATGAAGCAAAAAGGAATCATCGCGATTACAGTGTTGTAAAAATGTTGATTCTTCATAATTATCTAAGAAATCTCTCAGAATGGTAAATAGTCTTTGCTTCGCACCAAAAGATTGTTAATTTCAAAGGAAAATCATGGTGTGAATTTTAATATTGTGCATATATAAAATATTTTTAAAAGAATAGGAGAAGTTTCAAGATTTTGAAAACATTGTAATCACGCTGGTTTCTTTTTGCTAAATGCGATTTATGCATTGAAAAAAGGTAATATTTTGAGCCGAAGGATCTATCCTGAAAGTTAAGTACGTTAACTTCCGGACACCCTGTATAAATAAAACAGTAGTTCAGTTAAAAATTATTTCTCAGTCTCTGTTGCTCATCGTGATGAAGTCGACCCTCATGTTCAATATCTTTAG